GAACGCACCATAAGCCTCTACCTCAAGAGGTAGAGTAGCCAAATGTCTGGCTCACTGCTGCCAACTAGTGGTCAGAGGCTGAACTACAACGTAAAAATGAACGGCTGGCAGGAAGTTGACATTTTAAACCTTAAAAAAATCGATACAGGGCTTTAGAATATCGATACAGTATCGGGAAATGAAATATCGCAATATTTCAGTGTAACGATATTTTCTTACACCCCTATTTGGTTAAGTACTTTCAACAGTTCATGTCAGAAAGCGTATAAAAGGACTTCCTGATTTTTGAGAACAATTTTGTGACTTTTACTTAAGTACTTTTCTCATCAGTGAAATTTATTTTTACCAAAGTCATTTTCTGTTCAGGTATTTTTACTTTTAGTTATTTCCAGGTACTTCATAGACGTCTGCTCAGAGTTACAGACAAAAAAAAGACTAAACCCTGACACTCTTGATCCCAGGAGGATTAGCTCACAGCCATCAGGCCTGTCAGTTTGCTCTCAGCTGGTCGTTTACTTTGATACATTTTGTGTGAACAGTTTACTCTGGTTACAAAACGCGTGTCTGTGGTTGTGCCAGTTCTAACCAGTTCCTGCTGCACACGGTTGGTGTTTCCTGTGTGTTTCACAGCTAATCTCTTTTACACTGAGCTCAGTGTGCTGTCCTTTACCTCCAAGCCAATCTGAGCTCCCCACCCACCTCTCCCAAAGAGGAGTTCAACATTTATCTCTTTCTTAAAATAATTAAAGAATAAAGTGAAGAGTTACAAAACTTTGTTTGAAACAAGAGAAATAAAAAGAACTGAGTTATCCAGAGTTATTCATCTCAGATGGACTTATTTCTGTCATTTTTATTCATGTTACAAACAATAAAATTAGATTTTCACAACCTCTGAGCAGACAAGGTTAAAAAGGGATCTTGAGAAACTAAATTTTTTTATTGAAACCAACAGAAGTGGCAGACGTTGCGTCAGAACTTACATAAACTTGAAGATGACAGAGATCAAATGAGTCAGTGCAATGATCCACCAAGGAATGGAGTGAAAAACCCAGAAAATAAAGAAGAGCTAAAATGAACATCGTCACAAACACCTGGTGAGAGAGCAAACTGGAACAGGTGAGAGTGGGCGTGACCAGCTGACTGGGAAAACACACAGGGAGCAGAAACCTCTCACTCTAAAGTTAAAGCTCTGTAGAAACGTGGGACAGGTCACGTGATGAGTCGATGCGCATAGTAGGACAATTAACTTTAGAGTTCTGAATGACAGTGTGTTCTTTGTGACAACAAGACATTTTTTTCATGAAAAATGTGCCAAAATGCAGAGAATTGTGTGTAGTGCGTTGTAAAAAGTGTATTTTAGAACTGAAATGTGAGTGTAAAGCAGGAATTGTTTGTAGTTTAGCAGAACTGGTTCAAGGGTTTGGATATGTTAGTTCATGCTCATGACCTTTAGTAAATTACATGTTGTGGTCATTTTGTCTCAAGTACCAAATGTGTGTAAAAGCCTTGCAGTAAACATCGAAGGAAGAATTACAAAAGAGTTGTGTCAACAGAGGCAATGACAATAAAAAGGGAGACAAAATGGAAGCAGCAGAGCTGAAGATTTGGGAGATTGAAAGATAAAGCAGATCTGGAGTGAGATCATCAGACAAACTTTACAGATAAACAACTGAGAGATAATGTTCAAATGGACAGATTGAGATGGTTTGAATATGTTGGTTTATGATAATTTAATGATGTTAAAGGAGTGGTGTTATGCAAAATTAAAGTTTATGAGCTGTATCTTGTCATTCTCTCATCAAAAACATACACAGAGTGCAGAGGTGATTGCTCTGAGACTGCAAGGGAAGCTCATCTTCCCCTAAAATGTAAAAAAAAAATCAAATATAAACTGTTGTGTGTACATGTCATTGACTAAATATGAGCTACAACGCGCTTAACTTTTGTTCAGAATCAGCTTCTTATCACTGGTAACGACGCAGCTTTCCTCTCACTCGTTCCCTCAGTGTCACAGTGCTTTAAACAGTCGGACGCTGAGCGTCCACAGAGTTTAATAGTGAAGCAGGAGTGCAGCGAAACGAGACGAGTCATTGGATAAATGCTGGGCTTTGTCCCGCCTATCGGACGCTCAGCGTCTCTGGGGGTCTATGGGGCAGGGGGCGGGCCTTGGCCGGCCCGGACGCTCAGCTCCTGTATGATTGGATGATCTGTCGGAGGCTGAATCCCTTTTTGATTGACAGTGAAATGAGCCAATCAGCAATCCTTTCATGTAAAAACATCTGTGGGAGCAGTTCTTAGTATAGTTTCTGTTCGGAGTTGAACAGGAGACTTTATTAATCCTTTCAGCAGCATTTTCTTTGTTAAAAATGACTGGCAACAAATCAAGCTTCTGTTTCTGGTGGTTGTTTTGTAGCTGCTTGTGTTTGGAGACTGATTTCTGTCACACTTTCTGACTTCTATCACAGATTTTGTCCAGCGGCTGCTGAGCCCCTTCACCGTCACAAAGCACTCAAAGGCGGACACACTTCACACTAGCCTTGTGCCAGTAACAAGCTGCACATATGGCAGACAGTTTGAATGTTTTTGTCGAAGCCATGTTATATCTTCCTTACGAAGAAAAACTTAGAGTTAAAGTGTAACTTACCCCCCTGCGAAAGGATAACTCTGCCCCCAACGCAAATTTGAAAAATGCACAAAGTGGAGACTCTGAGGGGAGGTGAGGGGAAGGGGGTGGTGAGAGCGGAGGTGTGGCCAGGACGAGAGAACGTGACAGGCAGCTAGCATTAGCATAATTGATGCCACATGGAAAGTGACCACAGTATCTCAGATAGTTACATCTCTAAATGTCTGAGGTGGAGGATTTTCACCCCACACCAGCACCGGACAGAGGAGGAGGAGCGCTCCGACAGCCTGACAGAAAAAAATAAAAGCACACAGCTGCTCACATGATCGCTACTTTAAATCAGGAATAAAAGTAGTTTACCTGTATAAAGAGCCCTAAAAATCCATAAATGTTGCAGAAAATCCTTACAACTCGCACCCGCGGGGGGTGGGGGGGGAGTGGGCAGTTGCGGACATGAAAGCGCCTGCTGCGGAGCAGGAGGAAAGGAGAGAGGAAAAAGTAACTTATTTCTAGCGGCAGAACAGGTTGGAAGATGGCTGTTTGATGTTATTTATTGTTTTTTGAATCATCAACCAGAGCCGGCTTTTGGCATAGGCGAATTAGGCGGTCGCGTAGCGCGCCATCTGCTGGAGGAGGTGCCAAACTGCAGCAGAAAAAAAGTAATTATTTGTATACCCCTTTCAGTTAGCTTTATTTTAAAAAGCAATAATGAAGTATTACAGGAAAAATAAACTACTCTACCCATAAAATACTCCCCCATGCAGCAATCACCCCCACTCTCTCTCATTTGATTGAAGTTGCACTGACTCATCCCGCTCCGACACTCTGATGGGGGAGGAGCTATGCATCTCAGGTAGAGGTAGACAGGTTTTATCCTGAATATATTCC